TCTTTAGTTTCCCTCGAAAATAGACTTATGAAGTTCAATTCTCAAAAGAAACCTTATATACATTTTCCCTTGGAATAACTAAACTCCAAACAACTTACCTAGTTACAGACTAAGCATACTAAAGCATTGTTTGACACAAGTAGTAATAGCTTGTATCTCTTGATCAATTTGTTTAGGATTCTTGCTACTTCTAGCAGTGTACTACGTATCAATCCATGGTTAAAAAAATTATACTAATTGATTTGTCTCAATATTTATAAACTTATTGATTGCAGAAGGTTAATCATGTAATAGATAATAAATATAATAGACATGATTAATAAAATAATACAAAAAATTCATATAAAACATATGATCATTAGACAAATTTATTGTTAATCTCTACAGTGATGAGAAAGTGCAATTTTGGTCTCTTAAAATTTTTTGTTACAAATTTGGTCCCCTTTAGTTTTTAAAATTAAGCAGTATTTGTCCATGATTAACATGACATCGAAAATTAAATAGAAAATGTTAATGTGTTTGTGAGTAACACTATCTTACAATTACTTAGTTATGTCGATTTTCATGTAAGAAAAAACTTTACTTTTTACTATAAATATGTTATTTTTTATTTTAATTAAAATTTATAATCTATTAGACAATTTTAGTTTTAATTTTAAATGTATTATTTTCATAAGTGACTAAATAATTGTAGGTAATATGATGGAAGAGCATGGGCTAAAGGCCCAACCACTAGAGCTATGACCAGGAGATTACTTGAAGACTTGTCTGCTTCAGAGCTTAGTAGGCTCAATGGGCTTGGTGGTCCTAGGGTCCTTCTCACTTGGACCTTACTTGAATAAACACCATGTTTTTATTGCATTTCTTAGCATAGGAAGTTACTTTGATTTTGGTTTTGTATTTGGTCTTGTATTTTGACCATAGATTAGGGTTTATGCTTTTGGGCTTGTATTTGGGCTTCTTGGGCTTTGGGCTTTTGATACCCAATATTAGGCTCATTCTTCTTCTTGTAATTTTTCCTATTCATTGTATTTCTTAGACCAATGTATTTCGGTCATTAGATTAGGTTTATATGAAGTATACATTAATAGGTGCATTAGGGTTCATCTTTATGTCATTTAGAAGTAATTTGATTTGAATTTGAGTCACATGGATTGCATGGAGAGGATCCGGCCATGTGAGCTCTAAATTCACATCAAATAACTTTCAAATGACATTAGGATGAAGGTACCATCCGGATTTGTCACTTGGTTAGCCTAAGTTTGAATTTCAAATTCAAATTTGAAATTCAAACTTGGCGCCAACTAAGCTACACGGATTGGCGCCACTTGACCTAATTTTCCCACCTACAAATGTGTGACTCTCACCTTGTAAAAACACTTTTGAATGCATTTGAATTTCTGAATCAAAATCTTCAGCAATTCTTTCAAGAGTCACCGAAATAGAGAGAGCAAGAGAGTGCCTTCAAACATCATAGGAGTTCCTTAATTCCTTCTCTTTGAAGTGAGCAATCCTTTGCTCTTTAAGCTTGGATGCTTCCATCCAAGGCTTTGCCTCAATCAATCCATGCATCTTCATCTTTCTAAAGTGTTCATCACTTCGGTGTTATCTCCATTGAAGAGGATCTGTGCCTAGGAGGAGCTTAGGAGGAGTTCAATCTTCACTTTGGTGTTATCGTCAAAAAAAATTATTTAATTTTGAATAATATTACTTAATTTTTTTTATTAAAAAAAAGAGTAAGGAACTAAATTTAGAATAACAATTTTAGGAGACCAAAATTACTCTCACAAAATTATAGAGATCAATAAAATATTTAAGCCTAATGATAATTAGAATCAGTGAAAATAATAATTACATAATTCTCTATTATCAATTAATATATATATATATATATATATAT